CTTGCAGCATTTAATTTTATTATATATGAAAATCATTACTTGCTCTACACCATTACAAAATTACGACAATAACAAGGTAAAAGTTTGATAAATAGTTTAAGAAATATAATATAGATTTTTATTTTGTCATCTGCATATTCTTTTATTGATGATATATACATACATAGATATATATTATAATAGTTTATGTGCTAAAATATATCTAATATTAATATTGGTTAAAAAATTTGATAATAATAAGAAATTATGACGAGTTATAGAAAAACAACAAGTGTACACAGTAAAAACGGATCAAAAAGTTCGACTGCTAGTAATGTAGATGTTAAGAAGAAAGAAAACGCAACGAAATCTTCGCGTCTGGACATGCGATCTGTTCAGTTATGTCGTAGAGATAATGATGAATATATTAGCGATGATGAACTAAATGATATAGTTAATAGATTATCTTTACCTGAACTTTCAACTGTTAAAAGAGAAGAAGACAAAATTTATCAAAATCTTATGCCCATAGACAATGGAATTTACGATGGTACAGTTAACGAAGAACTGTTACGCGAAGGACAAGGTATATATAGATCAGATAATAGTGAAGAATTTTATTCCGGTTCATGGAAGAATAATAAACCTCATGGATACGGATATAGTTTCAAAAGTCAGGGTCGTAGCATTTATCATGGTGAATTTGAGAACGGAGAACTTAAAGAGGGTTACGGAAAAGTGGGTTTAGAACATAAATATGAATATGAAGGCAAGATTGTGAAAGGGAAATTCCATGATCTTGGAAGTCTATCTATTAAAATAGAGGGTCTAATAGAAATAGATAGTCCTGGTGTTGAAAAAGATACTCTTAAACTTGTAGCTGAATGGGAAAAAGGAAAAACAAGATGTATTTATGTTAATGGGATTGAAAAATATTATCAGTATCAATATAAAGTCTTTTCTGATAGTTTAGATTCGATTATTTCATTAGATAATGAAAATCGACAAAAACAAAGACAATATTTTCGAAGTTTGATCGATTTATCGGAGAAACGTCTTTTGAATATTACTTTATTAAAAGAAATTGCTAAACATCCTATGTTACCAGGACAGTTAAAATTATCAGCTGATCTATTATCCCGAATAGATAATAGTTATACAAAATTAGAGACGTACACTAAAATACAAATTAAAAAATCTTATAACGATTGTGTGAAAGATTTCTGTCGAACAGGATTAAAAATTTACGCTAGTCAATTAGCATGGAGCGAAGATAATGATAAATTTCATTGTATTTCTTCTAAAGAAGTTTTTGCCGAAAGTTTAAATAATCTTAGAAATCAAACTGAAATATCTGATCTAAAAAAAGTATTGTTTTTAAATCCGTTAGTAATCGATTCAATTCGAAAAATGATACGTTTTGCTAATGACAGATTAATTCATATTTCTTCTCAATATCAATCTGAATTTATTCAACATCATACTACAGTTTTGAAAGGTGTATGAATGGATTATTTCAAAAGTTTAGAAAATAATTCTATTGTCAAGAGATCAGATGATGAAAATAATGATAAATATCATTTTTATACTGATTGTTATTCTAATTTACTGGAACTTCCTTTTATAAGTCAATCTGAAGTTGGAGCCGAACAAAATTTGTCATTTAAATTAAAGGAAGATGTTCTAGTAGCAGAGAATAATATTGGAAAAGAAATTACTTCAATAGTTTTCGACGCAATGATGTTTTCATTAGATAATTTAAAACCATGGAAGGAATTTCAGGTTGAAAAATGGTCTTCTTATTTTAATGAATCTATTAATCGTGATATTTCAATTAAAAATCTGGGAGATAAATTGTTAATTAAAATCTTTTATGATGCTAAAAATAAGCTTCGATCATTTTTGAAAATGAACAGAAATATCGAGGACACAAACGAATTCTTTTCGCATTTAGAATCAATAGTAAACTATTACCAGAGTAGTCTATCGAAAGATGAAAATTTAAATTATCAAAGTAAGATGAAAGAGATTAAGAAAATACTTGATTACTTTTTACAAATTTCCAAAAATCGAAATTCTCAACATACAGATATAATCAACCTACAATTAGAATCAATAAAAGCATTTATTGAAGGAAAAGAAAGTGTTACAAATATAATTGATCGGTTTCTTAACTATAATATGGAATTTTATAAGTTATCTGAAAACTTTAATAGACGTTTTCCACCTAATATATCACCATTTAGTAAAAATGCTTCAGACATCTTATCTTCAATAAAAATGATTTTTCCTATGATTTTGAAAGAAGAAGATATGACGGATCCGTTTGAAGAACCAGAAAGATTTAATGTATCTAATAAAATAGAAAAGAAGTTATATGCAATGCAAAAAATCAACAACTTTCTTACTAACCTTGAATCTTTAGATTTCACGTGGTTTGTAGAATTTGAAGAGATTACGAATTTTAATTTTAATTTGTTTGAACAAGTCGGAGGGAAAAATTTTTTTAAAGTATTAAATATCGACGAAGCCAAAGCATATATTAAGGTTCCGTACCATCATTATGTGTTAGATGCAATTAAACAATTATTAGACATTATTCAAAATGTCTCATTAATTCATCCAGTAAGTTCGACAGATATGATTGAAATACGAGCTGAATTAATAATGGCTATAGGAAAATCTTTTAAGTATTTTAGTGATCAGATCAAATATAATAGTTTACAGAAATTTCAAGAAGATTGTGTTATTCCTTTTCAAGATGTTACGAAAGATATTGAGTCTTGTAAAATATTTTGTGATAAACTAGAAAAAATTGATTTATATTTTTTATATAATAGAAAACTAAAAGAAATCGATCTCAAGGAAGCTTTACGATTATTTCAAGTGAAAAATGAAGCTTTATATGAAATTCAGGCAATACGAGATGGCTTTTTAAAATATAAAAAGTTGTTTAACACCTATTTTAATGATGTTATTAAGAAAGAAATTTCAATTGAAGATATAACGAAAAAAACTAAAGAAATTGCGAAGACATGGAATTTTCGAAAAGAACCTATTCCAGACATTATAGCTGGACTCTCAGTTATACTTTCTTTAAGCACCTCTGATTTTATCGAAAAGCGTAACAATAAATATCAATTAAAAAATAAATATAATGAAACCTATTTGTTACAACCTCATTGTATTCAAATCCTTGGAGTATTAATGCTATTAAATATTGATGAAGAAGGTAAATCAATTCCTCCTAATCATCTTGCTGAGATTTTAACTGGACAAGGTAAATCTTGGGCATTAGCTCTTTTAGCAGGATTTTTTAGTTTGACTAGTTATCAAGTTACAGTTGGTTGTTACAGCAATTATTTATCTAAAAGAGATAAAAGTGATTTCGAGAAGAATTTAGCTCCTTTTAATTTCACAAATGATGTTAATTATACAACATTTGAATCAATGTGTAATAAGAAACTATCCAGTAAAAAAAGTAACAAAAATGTAGGGGATATTATTGCAGATATTGTGTCAGGAAAAGAATTATCTCCTAGTTATAGTGAAGGAAATGAAAAACAAAAATCAATTCTATTGATCGATGAGGTCGATGTATTTTTTTCACATGAATTTGGTACAGTGTATCGGCCGGCAGTTAATGTTACAAACAGAAATGTTGCTGAAGTACAAAAAGACATTTGACAAAATCTTATGAGCGGAGGTTCGAGTAAAATTCAATTAGAAAATTTAGCTCAACAAAATCTCTATAGTTCAATGAAAGAAGATAAAATTTTATCTAATTTAAATCATTCAGACTTTTTAAAATCTCAGATAAAACAAATGATCAAAACTGCTATTCAAATTTATGAAGATATGAAAGGGAAAAATGTATTCAGAGAGAAATATAAACTCGAAAATAATACAATATATACGAAGGATTCTGATGGGAAATATGTTTCACATATTTTCTATGGTTATGAAAATAGCTTTTATTATTTAAAGTTAATGTACGATCAGCATGAAAGTTTTAAACAAGTTTCTTTAAATGAAAATAATTTTGGATATATTCAGATTGCATGTGGAACTATTTCGTATTCAGAACTACCTAAGGCTTATGATGGAATATTTGGTCTTAGCGGAAGCTTAAAAGACTTATCCGAGAGTGAACGAAATGTTTTGTCATATTATAAAGTTCATAAAAGATCGTATTATCCATCATTTTTTGGTTATTCAAAATTAAAATTCGATACAAATAAGGATTTTATTATTAAAAACTGCAAAAAAGATTGGTTTGATAGTATTGTTACTCACACTCGAAAGACAATTGCTGAACATAGATCTGTTCTAATATTTTTTGCTAGTGAAGAACTGCTTGAGGAGTTTTTTAAGTCTTATTCGGGAGATTTAGGAGTTGAACAGCAAGGAAAGATGAGCCAGGAAGTTATGAATTGGTTCTATGCCGGGAACATCTACAAGAGTTTGCACTTGGAGTACCCCCACAGCTTCACAATTGGGAAATATAATAAGAGATATCACTTATAATGAATTATATAGACAGAGGAAAGAGATGAGTAATTTATCGTGTCAAAATAAACTAAAAGAAATTGAAGCGAATAAAAAATCTCATGAAGACACATTATCATTTTTCCAGAGAGCAATTACTGAGTGTAACAATAGCAATCGAGTGGATTTTATCAAAGAAATTATACAAAAAAATGATAAATAATTGTATTTCGATATGTAGTTTAATAATTCCCATTCAGTGAAAACATCTAGTAATCAGTTTGATTTTGACACTGAAGAGAAATAGTATATATCTATTCATAATTGTATAAACAGTTAGCATCGAATTAGATAATGCCAGTTATCATTTTTGCACGTGCTCTTCTGTTTTATAATCTTATATGTACTTTTTTTCTTCTGCACTGCCCTACATACTTTGTCTTTCTACTATATACATTTGTGTATTCTGTCTTTTTTTTCTATGAAAATTTTTTCAGTTCAATTATTTTCTCGTATGTTTTTTTATTTTTAATGCGTTCGAATATTATCATGTCCAATGAATTTTTTATAATGTATGTGTGTGCGTGTACTGTCTATATTAATATTTTATTATTATGCACAAGACTTAGCAGTGTTTCCGAGTGGAACTATGTCATATTGGTACTTTGGTCAACTGTTTATGAATCAAAGATCATAAACATTGTTTTTATTCATAATTAGTTCATCAAAACAACAAACTACTGGCAAAAAAATACATCTAATTAACAGGCGAAGATGAATCGTATGTAGTATATCGATAATTATATGTATCCGTGGATAGAATTACATTAAAAGTATCTTACATGCGCGCATTGATGATCAATCAATTACTGGAAATCTATCACAACAGCTCAATATTCGGTCAATTATATATTAATAATATATGACACAAGATTTGAGACAAGTATTTTTGACTTAGTATGCATAAAGAAATCAAAAATTATGTATAAGCATACACTGTAAAAAATAAAGTGTGCCCGGGGCACACTGAACTTGGACTTTTTTTGCACACTGAAAACGGCTTGTTCAGTGTGCCTGCAACACACTGGAATTGCACATATAGCTTGCATAGACAGAACGAGAAAAAAGGCCGAAGAAAAGAATAATTCTTCTGTTCTTTTTCCAAAGAAAAACGCAAGATAAAAATTCAGAATATACAGTGACAATTTGCACATCATTTTGGACTCAAAATGCACACTTGGGGGAATGCACACTAGCGGGCACACTTTATTTTTTACAGTGTATAACAACTATAAACAAGTCAAGATTATAAGAATAGTAAACCAACTGTTAAATTAAAACCTATGGAACCTTTAAATAAAATTTTGGTTCTTATGGCTTAAGATTTGAATGAACTAATTGTGCAATCATCCAATGGATACATATATATATATCTTATCATGTGCAGATTATTAATAACATTATAATTTTAGTTGGGCAATAGTGTATTGAACGGTTGAAATGTTTTTAAATTCTTGATAGAAATATCATCTTAAGAGATTGTTTATCTAAACAACTGTTCATGAGTCCAGAGCTGGTCCGAAGCGTCAACTTTTGTAGGGGGGTACTCCATGGTGGTCGTTATAGAAACGGACAGAACGAAAAAAAATATCAAAAAGTTCCTTAAAAAAAATTCAATTATTGGGGGGACCCCCGACCCCCATCTTACCTGAACCTACAGTAAACATTATGGCATGTGAATTTTCCACTCTATTACACTGACATACGTATATTTTCAATCTATTATATGTATTTTATTTTTTTCTGTTCAATAATAGGTTTTTTTCTCTTTATCTAAGGTGTTTTTCATCGTCGTGCTTGCATCTTATTATTGATTTTTTGTATTCAAAGAAAAGTTTCACTGCTTATTCTTCATTTATTTTAATTTCTTTTTTTAATATATGTTCTCGAATTTTGAGGGTGAGGGTATGGAAATAATACTTAATCATCACATCCACTCATCAAAATATACGTTCGGTCCTAAATACGAAAGTCGACTAGTGAACATGTTACAATGATTGGCTACAGTTAATTCGAAAATAATTTATCTTGCAAATTCAAGTGTTAGATTAAGCCTCAATTTCAAACAGTTCATTTATGCAATTTGTTCCGAATAGTTCTTTTTTCTTTTTATAAAATGATCAAAAACAATTTTATTTTACTTAGATAACCTTTTGTTTCATAGGGATCAATTGCGAATGATCGTCAAGTATTTTAAATGTCAATAATGAGAACCTCAATTAACATATCTGAAATTCCAAGTAAATGTAGATGGATGAGGATACAGATGTGGAGGAAAGATGAGTTTAATATCCACAGCCATAGCCAAACCCACACCCGTCACACTGTTCTCATTCAAATACACTATCTGAAACAAAATAAAGTACAGTACTCGTAACGGTATTAGTTAGAGAACAATCTGTTGGATCATTACTGTCCTGATCTATTTCATTTTGTTTAATTTGAATTTAGATATGTAGCTGCAATGCATAGCTAAGAAGATACACGGGTAGTTTAACGATAGAATATCTAATCGGTTATTGGAAAATAAGGGTTCTATGCTTGCCCTGCTTATGTGATCTTTTTTATTTACTCTTTTGTGTTATATAAGGCATATCAACTACGGATATTCAAGCTAGTGTAATTGAATAGAATATCGTGGACAAGTGAAATGATAACTGATAACCCTTTCATGGACCAAAGATACCTTCAAGTTTTGAAGTTTTTCTTTAAGCCTTTCCAGTTTGTAGAAAATAATTCGGCGTATATGTCCTGAAGTTTTTTCGGCTTACCGACATTTTCTGGCTGAGAAAAAGATTAATTACTTAAAGCAATATTGTTAAGTTTTCGACTTTACAGACTTACAGAGCGGCGAAAAATAAATTTTGACTTTAGGTAGTCCATCTTGTAGCCCGTGAAGTTCTCTATCAGATGAGGTATTGCACGAATCTTTCCATTGAGCCGTTATTTTACAAATAGAACTTTATGCTAGTACAGTAGGCTAACGTTAATTAGTACTAATTAGTCAATGACAGGAAGGCGAGAACAAAAATTTTTGCATATTTTCTCATACAAACTTTTCTCCACACATTTCTCTATCGATCTAGGGAAGAACCAAGTGTTTGTAATGAATGGAAAATGGGCAAAAACTCTTTTAATAATAGTCCCTTGTTCGAAAATTTAACAATATTATTTTTAAGTAATTCATTTTTTTCTCCGCCACATAATGTCTTAAGCCGAAAAATATATTTCAGAGTGCTCACTGCAAACTGGGAACATTAGAGTAAAATCTAACGGGAGCCTTTCCCTGAAAGCACCTAATATGTATGTGTCATGAAACATTCAGAAATCATTCTAAAATTGCTCTAGCATAAAGTACTGAAAAACGGCCTAGAAACGGGTCGTTAACGACCTGTTTACGGTTTGAAGCATCTCTTTTGTATGTGTCATGAAACATTCAAAAATCATTCTAAACTTCCACTAGCATAAAGTACTGAAAAATGACATAAAAACGGGTCGTTAATTGGCTGTTAAGGGCCTGTGTACGGTTTATAGAATCTAATATGTGTGTGTTTTTTGTTTTCCTCCAACATATTTCATAGTATGTAGATGCAGTTACATAAACTGGATGTTATGTAGTACGAAAGCCTGCAACCTTGAATAGTACTTTGATACTGTTCGTTTTCGATTCAACATGGCCATATAGGTACAACACAACTTCTGCTGTTCGAATCTCGATGTTATCAAGTAAGAAAAAAAAATTACAGTGTTGTTAGATAATGTGTATAGTGTAGTGCGTAGATTAGGTCGATTAGTGAGAAAGAGTAGATTCAACAGATAAGTCACACAAAAACTTTTTAATGTTTTCAATATAATAGCCGAAGTCAACAAAACGGTCCGTTAAAGTTGTCAAAACGACAAAAAAACGGCCTGTTAACGGTCAATAAACGGCCAGTAAATGGTAAGAAAACGTTTACAAAACGATCCGTAAACGATCTATTTAAGACCCTAAAACATTACGAGTTTCAGGTTCTGAAAACGGTCCGTTAACGGCCAGTTAACTAGCCGTTAACAGTGCCGTTTTCTTTGACCTGGGCACTAATCATTACTGAATAAATAAATTTTTTGTATCAAACTAAGTCAATATTCATGTGCAATTG